CACTCGGGCTCGATGGTTGTCCGCCTTCCCTCCTGAGTCCTCCCTCATTTGTTGTTGGACGTCGCCCTCCCTCGCAAGGTTCGCATCGAGGTGGCTCACGCTCGCCATGCAGGGAAATGTTACGACAGTGCCAAATGGTTGGTCTTCCTCCTCCTCCTCCTCCCATCCTCCTCCTCCTCCTCCTCCTCCTCCTCCTCCTCCTCCTCCGCATTTCCCTTCTCGACCTCCTGCTCCTCCTTTTCCTCCTCCTCCTCCTCCTCCTCCTCCTCCTCCTCCTCCTAGCAGTGTCCCTCGCCTGTTGTGGTAGCCAATCGTAGCTCGGCATCGCTTGCCGCAGCTACGATTCAACAGACGCATCTAACATGTTGCATATCGCATTTTAGGTCGTCACGCGGCGTGCCAGCTTCTAGTGCGTCTGCACGTCGATGAGGATTGATTGAAACAACGTGCTCTGCAGCGTTGCTCGCAAGATTTGGCAAGTGCCTCAGCTTGACTTAGCGCAATTCATGTCAGCTCGAATAGATCAGCACATAACACACGCTCGAAATGACATCCTTTGGAGTCAGAGGGTTTGAGAAGACATTCCAACCAATGTGGGTTTACTGAGGTGCCCCTCGATCGACATATACAAATATACGCACTTGTCAAAGTCCCGCTAGAAACCGGAGGGCGGCCCAACTGTGGGCGAGGGACGTGCTGAGTACGCTGGCGCTTCGAAAAGGACCCGTGAGGAATGTTGCACGGAACGTCGCGTAGCACTACAGAGGAGAAACAGAACTCGCCGTTACCAAGAACCCACCAAGGAGGCGGGGGGCGACCCCTGGACGGTGGCACGCCTGAACGCCGCCCGGTACTGGATGACGCTCGGACGTGCCACCGCCAAGGGTCGGCCCCCGCCGATGGGTTCTCGTTGGCAACGATCTGCGCTTCTCATCTGACCCCCCGCGCCAGGCTGCCCAAAGATTTTGCCCTTCTCCTCCTTCACCTCCTACCGTGCGTCCCCTTCCCCCAAGAGTGCGGCTGGGCGAGCGCCAGCCAAGACCGCAGCGTCTGCCCCACGTCCAATGCATTATGCAGCAGGGAAACCAGATGCACAGTCGAGGCCCAGGCAATCACTTCTTCAATCCACACGTTCCGTTCATATGTGGCCGAGTGGGTATTGGAGGACTCCTCCCTCCGTCTCCTCGCTCTTCCTCCCGACCATCCTCCGCCATCTCCTCGTCCGCCCTCGTCCTCCCTCGTTGTTATCCTCCTCCTCCTGGTCCTCCCCCTCCTCCTCCTCCTCCTCCTCCTCCTCCTCCTCCTCCTCCTCCTCCTCCTGCTCCTCATCAACTTCTCCCCCCTCCCACCCGAGGGAAAAGAGAGGCAGGCCCGACCCTCGCAGGCGAAGACGAGGGGGAAGAGGAAGAAGTGGAGGAGCACCACGGCCAGGCGCAAGTGGGGTGGCCGCTTAACTAGCGGTGCGGTCTGGATCCAGCGTTCTGCGGCAGCCCATTTCCCATGCGGGCCTTGGCTGTGCAAAAATCCGCCGGCACCCTTGTGGGGCCACCAGGCTGTAGGCCGAAGTGTGCTGCTCCCTGCGCCAGTTGCAGTTCAAGTCTTCAATGTTACAGTCCTGCTTTTTGCTTCCTGCTGTAAATTGTTGAAGTCCGCGCGAAGGCGGAGCCCCCCAAACCGGCCAGTTACCACGCCCTGATCGCGTTCTCTGAATTCCGCAAAGGCCATCATCCTTTGCAATTTATGCAATATTCGCGTCCCCGAGGCCATAAACCGTTGTATAATGTACGCGTTTCTTGCGCCCCCGAGGCAAACAACCAGCGTTAGTTACGCGATATTCGCGTCCCCGAAGCGGTAAACCTTCGCAGTTGACGCCGTATTCGCATTGCCGAGGCCAAGAGTGCTCCAAGGCGCCCGAAGATGCTTCCAAGACGGCCCAAGAGGGCCCAAAGAGGCCCCCAGAGCGCTCCAAGAGGCCTCCCGAGAGAGCCCCAAGAGGCCCAGCTCGTAGATTTACGACGACGGTTTTTGATGGATGTTGGCCTACTCTTGGGCTTTCTGACGCTCCAAGACTGCTCAAGAAGCTCCCGAGACCGCGCCAAGACAGTCCAAGACGCCTCCACGAGGGCCCCAAGACGGCCCAAGAGGGCTCCAAGAAGCGCTCAAGACGGCCCAAGAGGACCCCAGGACACCCCGAAGAGTTGCCCAAGCAGGTGACCACGAACCGAACATTCGATTCGATATTTCTGCCCCGCGAAGCCCTTAAGAGGCCCCAAAAGGCGCCCAAGACTCGCCTTAGAGGTTTCAAAGAGACCCAAAAAAATACCCCACGAGACCCCAAGAGGCCCCCAAGAGGCGCCGAAACCGCCTCCAAGAGGCCCCCGAGAGGCTCCCCACGACACCCCAACACATATACAAGAGACCTCAGACCCACAACCCAGGCACGGTGGCGGGATAGGCCGAAGGCCACTGGGATCCGCCGCCCCCTGTTGGCTTGGCACAGGGGTGCCCGGCGTGCTAGACCCTATCGGTTTTGGTTTTGGTTCTTTTTCCCAGAGAACTCTCCCTGGGCCTCCGGCGCGTCCCGCCGGGGTCCCGGGAAGGTTGCTCAATCCGGAAAAAATCCTCCAAGATGGCTCAGGATGGCGCCAAGATGGCCACGTTGGTCCAAGATGGCCTCCAAGATGGTCCAAGATGGCTTCCAAGTTCGCCCAAGATGGTCCTAGACGGCCTCCAAGACGGCCCAAGAGAGTCCAAGACGGCCTCCAAGACGGCCCAAGATGCCCCCCAGAGGCCTCCAAGACGGCCCAAGAGGCCTCCTCCAAGAGGTCCTCTCACTACCTATCTCCCCTCTCCCCCCGTCCCCGCGGTCCTGCCCTTGGCGGCGGCGTCGCCGCCCGCGCCCTCGCCGTCTTCGGCGACCTCCCCGCCGGCGGCCGCCTCCTCCAGTGGCGCGACCGCGGTCCTGCCCTTGGCGGCGGCGCTGCCGCCCGCGCCCTCGCCGTCTTCGGCGACCTCCTCGCCGGCGGCCACCTCCTCCAGCGGCGCGGCCGCAGCGGGCTTCCGGATGGGCCTGGTGCGCAGCTGCAGCTGCCGCCTCCTGACCGGCAGCCGGGGGTACGTCGGGGTGAGGACATGTGCGCGAACCCCACGCTGACGGGCCACCGCATGGATCAAAAAGTGCCAGGCAGCAGCAACGCTCTTGACCCAGGCATGCTAACCCAACAATCCTGCCAGGTCTCACTCGGGCTCGATGATTGTCCGCCTTCCCTCCTGCATCCTCCCTCCTTTCTTGCCTCGAGGTGGCTCACGATCGCCATGAAGGGAAATGTTGCGACGGTGCCGAATCCGGTCTTCTGCGATCACCATCCGCAAGCAGCAGTGGCTACCCACGCGCGGGTAGCGGCGGCACCCGCCGCTGAGGGCCCAAGGCGAGCCTCGCTGTGTACACGATCGACGCCAACACGGTGGGCTCGCTGGAGCGCGCCATGATGCAGGGCAGGCGCGAGGACACGGGCGCCATCATCCTGGCACAAGAGCTGCAGGCCGGCGGCACGCGGCTGGAGCTGCTCCAGACGCGGCTGCGCAAGCAGGGAGGGGATACAGATAGGAGTCGTGAGCAGCGCGAAGACCGTTCCGGGCCTCGGCGCTGGAGTTCTGCTTGCGACGGCACGAGGCAGGGGCATGGACTTCGTGCGCAAGGGGGTCAACCAGTGGGACACCAGCCCGCGCGAGTCCAAGGGCAGACTCGCGGTGGCATCTGGGCTGATGCACGCAGCAGGACGGGCCTCGCCTGCGGGGCCGCCTACCGTGTGGAACCGCGGGGGCACCGCGCCGCGGCGCCAGCGCCTCCTGGCGACGTGGGGCTCCACCGTGGACGCACTCCTGCAGGCGTGGCTGCTCGAGGGCGACTTCAACATGGACCCCGAGGTGCTGGAGCACTCGGACATCGTCGGCAGGATGAACGGGGTCATCGCGCGCGACGGGAACATGGGTACCTGCATGAGGCCAGACGGCGAGAGGAGCACGCGGGACTACTACTACTTCATCGTCTCGCGGGGCCTGGCGTCGGAGAAGCTCGAGGTACAGGTGTTGGAAGGCTACAACACGGAGCCGCACCTGCCAGTGAAGCTGGCGCTGCCCGTGCGCCACCACGACACCAACAAGATCTACGTGCTGTGCAAGCGGACGCCCTGGCCAATGACGCGGCCGACGGGATGCCCGACACAGCCAGTGACCTGGCCAAGGCCGCTAGCAAGCAACAGGGAGTACACACAGGACCACATCGACTGGCACTGGAACGAGCTGGGGAGCGCCTACGAGGAGCACGTGAACAGGTACCACGGCTTCGAGGGCGAGGGCCTCAGCAAGCGACAGGGCCACTTCGAGAGGGCGAACTACAAGTGGCAGCAGCGCCAGCCCAAGCCGTGCGCAGCGGCCGCGGAGCAGCAGCAGCAGTGGGCCGAGGGCGCCGAGTGGCTGGCGCGGCGGCTCAGGCGGCTGCAGGCGCTGGCCCGAGCATGGCGGCAGAGAGGAGATGACGGCACCTGAAGGCGAGGGCAGCGCATCGCAGACGGCCTCAGCCAAGACATCGTCCTCCCGCTGCTCGCGGCGAAGGCGCCTGGACAGACAGCAGAGGGGAACGACACTCCAGAAGGCGGCGAGCTGGAAGGAGAAGAGCTGAGGGACACGGAGGCCCAGGAGGCTCACATCGCATGGGACACGATCAGCTGGCCGCTCACCGTGCGCGCGCTGAAGGACATGCGCCTCAGCAACATAGACGAGGGCGCCCAGTACTACCTGGGCTACATCGCCACCCTGCTGGACCTCGCCAGCAGGCGCCACTGGAAGATGGTCCACCGTGCAGCAGCAGCGCAGTGGAGACAGTGGGTGGCCAAGCACGGAGCGCAAGGAGCGGGCGCATTATACAAGTGGACCAAGGCTCCCGTTCCGTGGCAGCCGCAGACGGGCAAGGAGGCCGACGACAGCGAGGATATCCACGTGCTGGCGAACCCGCAGAAGGCCGCGGAGGCAGCGCTGCAGGGCTGGGAGAGCATCTGGGGCGACCCCCTGGATCTCCGAGCCCCGCGGCCGCAGCCACCCGCCGCCCTCGAGTGGGCGGAGTACAGGCCGCAGCCCATCATCCCGAAGCAGGTGCTGGAGGCGTGCGGCCGATTCGGGCACAAGACGGGACTCGGCGAGCCGGGATGGCACCCGCGCCTGCGGGGCGAGGGCGGAGTCCACGGAGCTGCGAGGATCGCTGGCGCCCTCCACGCGCTGGAGGCGGGCGCGCCGTGGCCGCATTTCCCCAAACGGTGTTTGCACTTTGGGTGTCCTTGATGAGCAACCGGTTGGGTCCGCCGAGGTTTCGCCTGGTCGGCGCCCGTGGGCGCCTCGTGGGTGCCGCGTGCGCTGGCTGGGTCCGCCGAGGTTTCGCCTGGTGGGCGCCTTTGGGCGCCCCGAGGGCGTCCCGTGCGCTGGCCGGGTCCGCCGAGGTTTCGCCTGGGGGGCGCCCGTGGCGTCTCGTGGGCGCCCAGTGCGATGGCTTGGTCCGCCGAGGTTTGGGCACCCCGTGCGACCTCTTGGTCCGCCGAGGTTTCTCCTGGTGGGCGCCCCTCGGCACCTCGTGGGCGCCCCGTGTGCTGGCGGGGTCCGCCGAGTTTTCGCCTCGTGGGCGCCCCTTGCGCTGGCTGGGTCCGCAGAGGTCTCCGGCGAAGGCCCCCGGAGGCCGCGGACTGCCCATGGGCATCGCTGTGCCTCTTCTTCGGCGACCTCGCGGCCGCCGCGAGGGGATCGCGGATGTTCGTACAGCGCTGGCATGCGCAGGTCGTGCAGCGGCTCATCGACATGTTCGAGCGGCTGGACATGAAGGTCTCCAGAGGCGCGGAGGGCAAGACAGACACCATGGCCCCGACCACCGCGCTGCAGGACGGCCTCGCCAAGCGAGCGAGACCGCTGGGCGTCAGGATGGTCCGACGCGCCGACCACCTGGGCGTCGCCGCAGCAGCGGGCAGGAGACGAGGAGCCAGCGCCTTCAGCAAGAGGGCGAGCAAGTATGCCGCGCGGCGAGACCGCATCGCGCGCACACGACGCGCGGGTGGCCCCGCGCAGGCGACCGTCCGGCAGGGCAAGGTGCCGTCTGCCATGTGAGGGGTGCAGGCCATGGGCAGCGCGGGCTCCGCGCTGGCGCACCTACGGCAGAGCGTGGCGACCTCCCTTCAGGGGCAGCACCATGGGCAGGTCAACGCCGCTGGTGCTCCTAGCCGAGGACGCCGACCCAGTCATCCGCGCCAGCACGGAGCCGCTGGTCAACTGGACCATGGCGTGGCAGGAGGCCGACGGCCCGCCAGACCTGCAACGCCAGCTCCAGGGTGCCTGGAAGGAGTGGGTATACCGGGTGGCTCGTGCCAAGACCCCATGGCTGCAGGTGCGAGGGCCAGCGGGAGCTTTCGTGGCGACGACGAAGAGGCTGGGCTGGCAGACGCAGGCAGCCCACAACCTCACCATAGGCGAGGAGGTCCTGGACCTCATGACACTCCCGATCAGGGAACTGAAGCAGCGCATCCGCAGGGCCACGGAGGACAGCCTCGAGCAGGAGTGGCTCTCCAAGCACGGGGAGACGCACCGCATCACCAGCCTGTTCGTCGAGCCCGTGCGAGCGCTGCTCAAGCGACAGCGGACTGGACGCTGGACGCTGGAGCATCAGACGAGAGTGCGCAGCCTCTGGAGCGGAGGCACATGGCCGCAGCAGCGGCTATACGACAAGGGCGCCGCGCAGGACAACATCTGCAAGGCGTGCCATGATGCAGCAGTTACGGACCGCCACAGGACCTTCGTGTGCGCGGCCAGAGCTGAACACATATGAGCTGTCGGAGGGCATCACATACGCCACCGCGGGGCTGCGAGGTGGCCTGGAGCGTCGGAGGCGCAGCGTGCTGCATCAGAGGCGCTCTGGGGACGGGGCCTGGCGCCCGACCCCGCGGAGGAGTTCAAGCTGCGGGACCTGCCCTCCAGGGACATCGGCGCCGTGGAGGGCGACTTCATCGGGTTCGTGCACGGGGACGTCTACACCGACGGGAGCCTCCTGCACGGCGAGTTCCCAGCCCTTCGACGAGGAGGCTGGGCCTTCGTCCAACTGGACGAGCAGCACGAGATGCAGTACGCTATGTATGGCCCACTCGAGGGCAGCGACCAGTCCATCTACAAGAGCGAGCTGATGGCGATCGCCGAGGTCCTCGAGCGGGCCTGCCCGCCAGTCAGGATCGATTCGGACTGCAAGGCCGTGATCGACGGCTTCGAGAGAGGGCCCGCCTGGGCCGAGCGCGCAGACACAGCCCACAAAGAAATTTGGCTGCACTGTTGGAGGCTTTAGCAGAAAGCGGAGGGATAGGGCCGCTAGGAATCACACTGCACAAAGTCAAAGCACACGCCACCAGGGCCCAAAGGGCTCAGATAGGGCCCCAGCGTTTCCTTGGCAACAATCTAACGGACACCCACGCGAAGCGCGGGGCCCTGATGAATGAGCATGAGGCCTGGCATAGGGCCACTTCCATTCAGGGGTACAGGTTGATTCCGGATATCCTGGAATTTGCCGCGCACGTCGGGGTCCTCGGCCACGGCCTCGAGGACACCTCTGAGCCGCCCCCACCCCCCCCGACGCCTGGTGGGGGAGTGGAAGACCCTGCGGGCCCTCCACGGCCCCCACCTGGCCCCGTGGTCCCCCCCCCCCCGCGCCCCCCGCGGAGCTCGGAGATCGGATCCAGAGGGCCCGTGCCGAAGGCCACCAGATGGTGTGCCTGCCCAAGAGTAGCTCTCTGTCGGAGGTGTGCCACGCACGCCGGGGACCGATGGAGAGGTATGCTTTCCAGCTGCCAGGGGGGTAATCCTAGGGTCCTAGCTGGCCGTCGTTTGAAACGTTGGTGGCAAGGTGGGCCGCCCACCACGAATCAGATTATTCGAGGCCCTCGATTGCCCAGGACAGGCCTGGGATGAAGGGTGCCTCCTAGGGTTACGTCGCCGCACCCTCGACCGCCTCGACTAACCGACAGCAAGTGAGTTCTCAGCGAATCCTCCTCCTCCTCCTCCTCCTTCTCCTCCTCCTCCGCATTACCCTTCTCGACCTCCTCCTCCTCCTCTTCCTCCTCTTCCTCCTCTTCCTCCTCCTAGCAGTGTCCCTCGCCTGTTGTGCTAGCCAATCGTAGCTCGGCATCGCTTGCCGCAGCTACGATTCGACAGACGCATCTAACATGGGCTCGTGCGTGGCTGCGTCGCCAATATTATCCTCCAGTATCGCCCTCCTCCTCCTCCTCCTCCTCCTCATCATCATCCTCATCCCCTTCCTCCGCTATCTGCCTCGGAGCCTTTCCTCCTCAAATCCTCCGGCTCCTGTAAACGGTCCCCCTCTCTCTGTCCTCTCCTCGCTCCTCTCCTCTCCACCTGCCTCCCCTCCCCCCCCGTCCCTATCTCCCATCTCATCTCGTTGGCTGCGGACGCCACGGCTGACGCCGTGGTCGGGAGCCGGTGCCTCAAGGCCGCGGCTGGGCGCCGCTTGGGAGCCATCGGCAGCGACGCCCAGGCTGGCGCGGCGACAGAGACGGCGGCCTTGGCCGCCCCTGCCCGTCCCCTCCAGCCTGCCTCTCTCATCTCATTGTCCTCCTCTCGCCTCGGCCTCCAAGTCGGCGGCGGCAGAGGGAGGGGGAGGGGGAGGAGAGAGAAGGAGAAAGAGGGAGGGGCAGGAGGAGGAGGAGAAAGAAGGAGGAGGAGGAGGAGGAGGATGAGAAGGAGGAGGGGAAAGAAGGAAGAGGAGGAGAAAGAAGGAGGAGGAGGAGGAGGAGGAGGAGGAGGAGGAGGAGGATGAGGAGGAGGAGGAGGAGGAGGGAGGGAGGGGAGGAGGGAGGGAGGGAGGAGGGAGGAGGAAAAGGAAGAGGAGGAGGAGAGAGGAGCCCGCCGCCCCCAAGATTCCTCCCCCCCCTCTCTCCCCTGGCTTCACTCCTCTTTCTCTCTCTCTCTCTCTCGTCTCCTCGCGCCTCTCTCTGCCGATCTCCCCCCCTCCTCCCTGCGGTCCTGCCGGTGCCTGCGGCGCTGCCGCCCGCGCCATCGCCCTCCTTGGCGACCTCCTCGCCGGCGGCCGCCTAGGCCGCCCGGACGGGGCCGACCGCCCAAGACACGCTGGCCGCCAGGACGTCGGACAACCACTGGGTCAATCTGGAAACGTCTCTTGGGCGTCGCCCAATGGGGGGCGAATGCTGGGGGGAGGGGGAACTGCTCGGGCCCTGGGGGCTCCCTTTTGGGCCCGAAGGGCCCCTCTTGGTGCCCTAAGGCCCCCCCCCCCCCCCCGGGGCCCTGAAGGGCCCTTTTCTGCAGCACCCGCTGCCTCCGCAATTCATCGCCCCGCCACTGCCCGACGCCCAAGACACGCCAGCCGCCCAGACGTCCAAGAGCGCCCCGCAAGCCGAAGCCGGGACCTGGGCAAAATCGGGCAGGGACGAGTCGGGGATCTTTGAGGTCTGGCAGTTGTGGAGGGTGTGGCGGGCGCCGCGGCTGTGCCAGAACGCTCCGTACCAGGATCTGCCCGATAAAGTTTGTCCTGCAGAGAGGGAGTCGATCACATTAATGCAGCCAGAAAAAGGGGCACCTGAACGGTTTAGGCAGGAGCGCGCATGAGGCAGGGGCCCGGATGCACACTAAACGGGGGGGCGTCGTAGCAGAAGCATGCGTAAAAGTACAACTAGAAAGCATCAGTGGTGGATCTGAGCAGGTTGGAGGAGAGTGCCCTGAAGTGAGGCGGAGCGGACATCAAATGCTACAGTAGAGTATGCTAATGTCTGGTCAGGTTGGTACGGTCGGACCTCAGTTCAACAAACTACGTAGTGCAGACAGGTAACTACAGGCAGGACGCGCAAATGCGGAGCCGAACAACTTACCCGACGACATGGCTCGAACAACAATTTCCTTGTAAACTCGCAACAAGAAATATCTGTATGTACACACATCGGCGAGATGAGTTGTCGCGCGTGCGTGCTCAGCGCTCGCGCGCGCGAGATCCCGAGACGTCCCCATGGCCCCAAACTGGTTCCAAGAGAGCCTGAGGCCACAGACGATCACGTCCAGACGACCCTGGGATGGAACTACCCCACTACAACCCTGCCATGGATTCTAGACCCGCCCCAGGCCAACTCGAAGATGACCAAACACATGAGCCACGAGTGACGCCGAAATGGATCCACGCGCGCCCAGGGTGGCCCCAGAATGAACACGCGACGGCTGCGCGATCCAAGCAAAACCGAGATATGATCTCAAGATGACCTGAAGACGACCCTGACATGGCAAGAATGCTGCAACTTCGGGGCCCCATTTTACTTCGAGCCGATCCCAGCATGGCGGGATCTGTGAACGACCCGGGATAGTTGTTCAACCCATTTTTGACGGGTGGGATGTTAGTCTGGCTGGGCCGAAGTGTAAGATAGAAGGGGAGTAAGTGAGGCGGGACCCCGCCCGGCCCACGGCAGAAGGCTGCTTTGCTAGGCTTCCGCGGGCGTAGGGAAGCTCGGACGGGGCGTCCTTGACTTTCGCTGCCTTCCGCTGGCCTTCCGACGGCCTTCCGCCGTCGTCCGCCTCGTTTTGCTTCCGGTGGCGTCCACGAGCGAGCGTCGTGATGCAAATTCCGATACACTGCATTGGGCCGATGCATCCACATGCGATTGAGAACAGCACAACGCGTCCCCACCCCCAGCTAGGACACCCACTCCCGACCTGGTGATCCAGCAGGTCCTGGCTTGGGGCAGGAGTGAGTCATGCTGTCCTGAGTTATGCGTTACCGTATGCGCGTTCCACAAAACCCTAGAAGAGTCAACGCTGGCACACAGCTTCTGCAGCAGAGTGAGGGGGGCGAAAGGTCATTCACTGTCTTTGGGTGCGTGGCCGAAGCGGGGTTCCGCGGTGAAGAGTGCTGTTGCGTTGAATGCTCATTTCAAAAACAGGAAGAAACAACTATTGTTGATCTCGCCCCTCTGGAACACCTTGTGCTTTTCAAATGCAGTGTTCCTCCCAGGGTTCACACAAATTGTCCTACGAAGAAAAACCTTCCTCCCCTCAGATTGAGCCCCTGGCCCCCGCACTACAACAACAACAGCTCCCGCTGGACACTCCCTCACAGTGTATTTCAAAATCGCGCTCGAGCGGAACTTCCTCACAACGTATGCAGGAATCGCGCTCTCGCGTGGAACTTCCTAACATTTCGTTCAGACGTCGCGCCCTCGACGCTCGGGAATCGCGCTCTCGCTCAGGCTGCTCTCACGATTTACTTGGGAATCGCGCTATCGCGCGAGACCCCCTCGCGACTCATGCGGGACGCGCGTTTCAGCAGCCCGTTCTCGAACTGGCCGCCTGGTCCCGCCGTCCCGACCCACCTTTTAGGGTCTACGCGCCCGATCAGCCCGTCTGGTTCTGCCACGTCTTTTCTGATCCTCCCCCCCTCTTGCTAATCTCTCTCGTGCTCCATCCCTTTTCCTCCCCCTTCCATCCGTCCTTTCTTCCCCTGTTGTAGAGCTTCCCCTGTTTCAGGGGCTGCGCCGGTTACACGTAGCATGTAGTAGGGAGGTTTGCCCCGAGGGAGCATGATCGAAGACGAAGAGGGCGGATATCGAGGGCTTGGGAGATACATGTTGAGTGGCACGCGGGGAGACAAGAGCGAACAATCTTCAAATGCTTGTTGTTGTTTGTTGTTGTTGTCGTCGTCCCACTTGCGACCCAACCCGCGACCCGCCCGTGACCCGCCCGCGACCCTCCCGCGACCCACCCGCGACCCACCCGCGACCCTCCCGCGACCCACCCGCGACCCACCCGCGACACACCCGCGACCCACCCGCGACCCACCCGCACTCCACCCACGACCAACCCTGCGATCCACCCGCGACCCGCCTGCGACCCACCCGCGACCCACCCCGCGCCCGCCTCCTCACTGTTATCCGCAACTCGGGAGCGGCCAAGAGGGGGGTGTCGGGGTGTCCAAGAGGGGGGGGTACAAATCATGACCGGCGGCATGTGCGCGGCCCAGCGGGGGGGCTAGGGACGTAATGAAAGAAGAAGAGGCGCCATAAAATCTGAGGAAACATCATGGCCCCCGCCATGATATCCCCCCTCCCCTAGTCATCACCCCCCTCTTTGCCGCCCCCGAACAACTGCGGGGTGTTAAATGTTCTACCCGGTGTGCGCACTACCGGTTCAGAAACTTGCTTGCGCAACTCATTCTCACACTTGTGAGCGTGCTTGATGCGGAAAGCAATGAACCAGAACCATTGAGATGGTAGGTGGCGTTTTACGGTGAAGGTGCCACTGCCAAGACACGGATAAGACGGTGAGGATGTAGCATGCAGTGCCCCCTGCCAGGAAACCGATTCTCGGTTTCGGCTCGTGCCGTGCCTGACGCGCCAGCGGGCGAGGCTCAGCTGAGCGCTCGGGCAAGATAAGAGGATCATTCCGTGGCCAGGTGTGGCCCACATGATGGGGTTCCCATTGATTGTTGAATAATTGTCGCATTCTCGGGCGTCCGTCAGCTCCTAGGCCTCCAAGATGGCCTGAATGTGCCCCCATTGAGAGCCCCAAGATGGCCCAAGAGGCTTCCAAGGCCCCACGCTGGCTGTAGAGGGCATCTGGAAGAAGCCAATACGGCCCCAGAGGGCCCCTCGATGGCCAAAGAGGGCGCCAAGCTGGCCCCGCGACGGCCCCTCGAGTGCCCCAAGACGGCCCAATTGAGGTCCACGAGAGCTCCTCGAGAAGTGAAGATGAAACGTGTCACAAGTGATTGCTACCCTCGTCGTCCTTCCTCCTCCTCCTCCTCCTCCTCCTCCTCCTCCTCCTGCTCCTCCTACTCCACTACCCCATCATCTCCCGCATACTCATCCACCTCCTCATCCTCATCCTCATCCTCATCCTCATCACCACCACCATCATCACCATCACTATCATCGTCAGCAGCAGAATCGTCATCACGATCGTCACCACAATCCTCGTCCTCGACCTCGACCTCATCATCCTCGTTATCACCATCATCATCGTTTCTGTTTATCCCCATGGTCAACGATAATCCTATTCATCCTCTCCTTATTCTGTTCACCATCTCATCGTCATCGCTACCATCATCGTCCTCATTCGAACAGCTGCCACCGAGCCTGCTGGACTGGCACGGTAGCGCACTAAATGCAGGCAGCTGGATAAATAGGATAATCATTCCGTAGCCAAGTGTGCATCGGCCATGAGTCTCGTGGCGTGGTGTAGCGTGTCCATCAGTGGCCAAAGGTTGCCAAATGCATGTACCGTGGGCGTCCCAAGGCTGTCCCATAGCTGTCATCCTAAAGCCGCTGCTGCTCCTAATTGTCGCTATGCTTATGGCTTGATGCTCCTCCTCCGCCTCCTCCTCCTCCTCCTCCTCCTCCTCCTCCCCCTCCTCATCCTCTTCCTCCTCCTCCTCCTCCTCCTCCTCCCCCTCCTCATCCTCTTCCTCCTCCTCCTCCTCCTCCTCCTCCTCCTCCTCCTCCTGCTCCTCCTCCTCCCCCTTCTCCTCCTCCTCTCTCCTCCTCCTCCTCTTCCTCCTCCTCCTCCTCCTCCTCCTCCTCCTGCTCCTCCGCCCCCTTCTCCTCCTCCTCCTCCTCCTCCTCCTCCTCCTCCTCCTCCTCATCTTCCTCCTCCTCCTCCTCGCCCTGCTCCCTCTCCTCTCTACCTCGCCCTCTCCCCCTTGCGCCCTCCTCCTCCGCCTCCTCGCTCTCCTCCTACCCGCTCTCCTCCTCCTCCCCCCCCCTCTCGGAGGAAACGCCAGTCTGATGCAGGGGGTGTGCACGGCCTCGGGAGATCCTGCTGGAACGACGATCAGGGGTGGCCCCTTCCAATCGCATGGACTCCCGGTGCCTCTACTGGCCCTTCTCTGATCCTCGCCCGCCCTCGCCCCGTTCTGCCCGCGCAGCAGGAGGGCAAGCCACGCCAGGCGGGTGGGCCGGAACGCGGGCCTCGGGCGCGGCCTCGGTCGGCGCGGCGGCCGCTGCCGGGGCGTCCTGCGGTGCTGGCCGAGACTCGCCCTCGCCGCCCTCCCCAGACCAGACATGCTCGCATCGCGAAGAAGTCACGACGGGGTGCTTTC